ATATATATGAAAAATACCGGTAATAGTAAAAAAATGGGGGTATTTTCAAAATATAGACACAAAAAATTGGATTTTCGGGTATAGACATGGATTCCGCGGAGGTAGCTCCGCGGAATGGCAAAATCATAAATAAATCAGTGTATTTAAAAAAAAAAAAAAAAAAAAAAAAACTCAAGATCCATTCCGCGGAGGTAGCTCCGAGGAATGGATCTTCAGAATTTTTTTTTTTTCCACATTGATTCTTCGGGGGTTATATTCATTCCCCAACTAATTATTTTTTCAAGAAATGATTAGCATATTATCATAATCTTTTCTTGAAAATAATTAGTTGGGGAATTAATATAAACCCCGAAGAATCGATGTGAAAAAAAAAATTCTGAAGATTCATTCCTCGGAGCTACCTCCGCGGAATCTACTGTAGCTCCGCGGAATAGATCTTGAGTTTTTTTTTTTTTTTTTTAAATACACTGATTTATTTACGATTTTGCCATTCCGCGGAGCTACCTCCGCGGAATGCATATCTATACCTGGAAATGTCCATTTTCATGTCTAAATTTTAAAAATACCCCTCATTTTTTTACTATTGCCGGTATTTTCCCATTTATTTATGGTGATGACATTAACAAGTGTTGTATTAGTGCTTTCAAATCATCCAAATACATCCAAATCCAACATTTTCCACTTTGATATTGACAACCGAAATATCTTACAAACCAAAGCCCAAAAAAAAATATATGGGTTAAGACAAGTAAGTGATCAGACCAAATAATTCTAAGATAGGTTGATATGGCAAAAGAATAACACAGCATACCATCATTTTATTGGATGAAATATGACTTGTACCCAATACAAAATTGAAAATTCATTACCTATAACAAGAATCTAGATGCTTGCTGCATAAACATAAACAAGTCTAGGAATTGTTGAAAGATTGATTCATTCTCATTCTCATTCCCATTCAATTGTGGATGGAGGCTTGGATGTAATGTCTAGACAAACTCGGTTGACACCACGAACGCTGTTGCAAATCTTTCTTGAAACATCATCTAGGAACTTATGCTCAAAGTAATACCTGAAGTTTCAAACATATGAAATAATAAACAGAAGCTTTTCGAGAAAATGCTTATCCGTGTGTTAAATGTCTAAAATACCCAATTTATAATAAGGGAATGAATGAATTTGTATTAAAAACGGTTGCTTGCTCACCAGTCTGCTGTCATGCCATCTTGACTTGTAACAGCTCTAAGTGCAACTGCATTAGAATGAGTTCTTTGATCTCCTTGAACACCAGTTGTTTTTACAGGCAAAAACACAGCAAATGCTTGCCATATTTCATCATAAATCCCAGCATCTTTAATTGCTTGGATAAAGATTTCATCCACCTGGATTTTTATGCCAAAAGAGAGATCAGATTTAAGGATCTTTTATGTTATCATTTGATTGACTTGTTTGAATCTTACTTGGCGAAGAATATCCAATGCATTTCCTTGAGTGACATCACCAGGAATCCTCACAGCAAGCCCTGGCCCCGGAAATGGGTGGCGCTTCAAAAACGACACCGGGACATCCAAAATCTTACCCAATTCACGAACCTTCAAGACAAATCAAGGGCAAATTTGTAAATAGTTTAAACTTAATGGGAAAGTCTCTGTTAGATAGTTGTTTATCTATTCAAAAGATGTATGCTTGAAAACACAAGTAGATAAATAAGAAAACTCAACCTCGTCCTTAAATAGAAGCTTAAGTGGTTCAATGAGCTTTAACTTCATATCTTTAGGGAGCCCACCAACATTATGATGGCTCTTAATTGTGTGGGAGTGGGTCCTTCCACTTCCCGGAGGTGGGCAAGATTCAATTACATCTGGATACAAAGTTCCTTGAACCAAGTAAGTAGGTTTCCTTCCAAATTTTTTCTGTAAACCATTAGCAAAAGCATCAAAGATTGCAATGAATTCCTTCCCGATGATTTTCCTCTTCTTCTCAGGATCAGTAACACCTTTCAACTCACTGAGAAATTGCACAGATGCATCAACACAGGTAACAGGTAGATGAAGATCTCTTTCAAATGTTTCCATCACACGTTCTTGTTCCTTGTATCTATAAAACAAACATATTCAACAATTTGACAAAGGGATATGAATCTTGATGAAGAATAAACGTGAGGGAAGATCAAAATCTGACCTTAGCAAACCGTTATCAACAAAAACACAGTGCAGCCTGTCGCCAATTGCTTTGTGGACAAGAGTGGCTGCAACAGTTGAATCTACACCTCCGGATAATGCACATATAACATGATCTTGAGGCCCGACCATACTTCTTATCACTTTTATTTCTTCCTCCATTACATCTTTCATTTTCCAACCAGCTTCAACTCCACAAATATTGAGAAGAAAATGTCGCAATGTTTCCATTCCCTCTGGTGAATGTGTTACCTTCATAAGATTGAAAAAGTAGTCTTGGTATAATACTTAAGAAATCGACAAAAATAAGAAGTGATTTGACATGCAGATTATTTTATTTTATCCTTTAATCAACCCAAATCCAACTTAATTTACCTCTGGATGGTACTGGAGACCATAAAACCTCTTGTTGGGATTCTCCATCGCCGCCACCGCTCCTTGCTCGCTCCTCGCAACCACCTCGAATCCATTAGGCAGCTTCACAGCCTCATCGCCATGGCTCATCCAAACGACCTGTTTATCACCAATCTTCTTACCCCCGAACAACCCGCCACAATCTTTTACAACCTCAATCACCATTCTACCATACTCCTGCTTCTCTCCAATGGCAACCTCACCACCCAATTTCTGTACAATCAACTGCAAACCATAGCAAATCCCCAATACAAAAACACCGTTTTTTTCAACATATTCCACAAATCCATCTGGGAAAGAAGGTGCATCGGGGGAGTGGACCGAATGAGGGCCACCTGAGAGGATTATTACAGATGGGTTTAAATCGGTGATGGATTTGAGTGAGGAAGTGCCGGAAATGCAGAGGGAGAAGATGGATAGGCTCCGGATTCGACGAGTAATGAGGTGGGTGTACTGGGAACCGTAATCTAGGATCAGAACTATGTTCGATTTTACGGTTTGGGATTCCATTAGAGAGGAATTTTTTTTTTATGAAATAAGTCTGTAACTGAGAAATGGGGGTAAGGGGTTTAAGAGATAAATGAGGCTAGCTAGGGTTTTGTGGAGGTTGGCGACTTGGCGGGAAGGAACAAAGAGACTTTGGGTCTGTAATGAAAATCAGCCCAAAATTCCGTTCATTTGTCTCAAACTACTATGACTCTTTTTCATCTCAACTTAAAGCTCCGTTGCATTATCCTTCAAGGAGAAATTATATATCTTCTTACATTTTGTTCCTACTTATTTAATATAACGACAAGTGTATAAATTTAACATTTCAATTAAATTTAAGTTAAATTTAATGACATTTAACAAAAAGTAAAAGGATATTTAATTTCTCTAAATAGAGATTGCATAGGATCTTAATACCATAATTATTAGGGAAATTTTCACATATGTCCTTGCAAACATTAAGAATTACGTCTATATCCTTTCAAAGTTTATAATTACGTATATATCATTTTTAACCTATTAAAATCACATTTATATCCAATCTTATAATTTAATGAGGTATTAATCAATTTAATACCAAAAAATATATTTAAAAATCAAAATAAAAGGTGATTGTACTAAATTACCCTTTCCAGATTATTAATAAATGGACATAGCAATAAATCACGTTATTTCATCACAACAGGTTAATCTTGTTCTTCATTCGATTAATTTTGGTTTTTGATTAACTTTTTGCATTCGATTAATTTTTGGTTTTGCATTCAATTATGCTTGGTTTGCAATAGACAGTTTATTATCCTCCTCTTTGATGGATAACGAGGTTGATGCACCGAGATGGGACATAAGTGCTCACTCGCCCATAATTGAGTAAGTTTTTATCAACAATGAATGATACTTTATGTTTCCCTTCAATTTTATTAACTGTTTTTTTTTCATTGTGGTTATCAGACAAGTAATATCGGAATTCAAGTTCAAATTGAAATATAGAGGCTTTTGTCGATTAGCTAGGAACTCATGTAGGCACGTGTATTGCTTTGGATCTACAAAATGTCTCTATATAGACACATTTTCATACGGCTTAAATCATCTAGTTGAAGAGGTGAAAAAACACTATCCATCACAAAGCGATATTGTTTTGTCAATAGTATTTGTTGACAAATATACAAAAGAGCAATGCTTTATTGAACTTGATAATGATAAGAGTTTCATGGTGATGTTAAACATGTATAATGATGAGAAAGAAGTGACAATTTATGCGACAACTGAAAAATTAAGGTATAACCCTAAACCGTTAAGTTGTCAAGATAAAGTTATTGATGAATCTGATGATGAAAATGAAACAGACTCAGTTTGTCCAAGTCAAGAAAGCTATCATAGTCTTCATAGTTCCGATAACGAATATGAGCTTCTAAATTATAGCGAAACTTATGCATATAGTACGATGAATCCATTTATGAAAGTGAATTCTAAATTCCCAAGTGTAATTGCTTTTAGAAGAGCATTAAACCATTATGCACTAACAAACGAATTTGAGTATGTCATTGAGAAAAGTGATTTGGCAAGACTTACAGCATGTTGTGGAGATAAAAAGTGCAAGTGGAGAATTCATGCTTCTCTTACACAAGATGGGGTTACTTTTGAAGTAAGTATAAAATTTGAGAAATACTACATTTGTCGACATTGTTATTATGTTAACATAATTATATGTTTTTTTTTCAATTTTGTAGGTAAAGAAATTTATAGAAACTCATTCTTGTACTCGAAGCAACAAGAGTGGTAACAAACATGCCACTCAAGGATGGATTGTTGATGTTGTTACCGACAAGTTGAAATCTGAAGGCGATGTCTCTCCTGCCGACCTAAAAAAGTGGCTTATGC